GCTGCCAAAGGGGAGGCGGGGGGGCCACTGATGTGCAGTCAGCAATGCCCGGGGAGGGGGGAGCATGGGGCTGGGTTCTGTTCCCGGCATCTGCCCGTGGGATCTTGGCAAAGTCACTGCTGGGCCCCGTGCCTCAGTTTCCCCACTTGTGAAAATGGGATGGTGTCACCTGCTCCCCCACCCAGGGCCTTCAGGGGGGTGAAGAGTCTGCTAGAGATGCGCTTGGTGTCTCAGAGCTGCCCGGGAGAGCAGGTACTGCTCTATGCTAGTCCCGGAGCGCCGCTCTCCTGTAAATTACCCACTGCTCCCCTGAACTCCAGGATGTCCCGCCAGCGTAGCGGGGAGAAGGGTGTGGCCCATGGGGAGACAGTGCACACAAGAAACAGGCCTCCCTATTTCCGGTATGCCGGGATGGACCAAGAGACTAAGTGAGTCACCCATGGCCATGCAGCAAGCCAGTGACTAACCACTAGCCCACACTGTCTCCCTGCCCCATCACCCCTATGAATCCGGGCTGGGTCTGGCACACGCCTGCTCTGTGGTCCAGCATCTCCAGACGCCACGTGGCGGGGTGTTGTTCCACTGGAAGGGGGGGGGGGGGGGAGATCTATTTAGCGCGGCGTGACCAGCGGCGCCAGAGGCAGTCGCAACGTTCCAAACGCTGCGAGAGCTCCCAGCTCCGGCCCCGGGTCTATCGATCCTCACGTGGCTTTGGTATCTCGCCCGCGCACATTTACCCTCTGCGATCTCCAGCTCCTCCTTCTCCTCCGCTTCGGCTGCAGCCGCTTCCTGCTGCCGGAGTTGCTGGAGGGAGAGGAAACGGGCAGTGAGAAGCAGAGGATAAGTCCAGGAAGGGCGCGTTGTACTACTACAGCGTCCTGTCAGCCTGGAGCCGGTTAGAACCCACAGAAACGCAGCCCCACTGAAATGCGGCCACCTCTGGGGTGGAGCACAGCGACTGCCTTAGAGCACCTGGTCACTGTTGAGGACAGGAAGTGAAGGAACATCCAGCTGACATTTCATGAGGAGTTTTGCGCAGGCAAAATACAAGCAAGGACGTAGCTAGGGGAATGAAACTGACGTTTCATTTTGCTGCCCATTCTGAAAAAGAATGAAACCCCATTTTTTAGTGAACTGAATTGTTTGAAAATATTCTGGATAGAACAAAACAGTTTCATTTGCAAGCTTTTTGCTTTTTAAGATTTTTTTTTTAAATAAAACCAAAGTAAATTTCACACCGAGAAGTCCTTTTGAATAAAAAAATCTCAGAACAGGCCAGAACAAAATATTTTGATTTTTAACATGGGGTGGGTGGGATTTTTCTTTTGAAAAATACACGTATTTGCAAAAAGTGGGGAAGGGAAGGTTGTTAAAAACAGTTTTGGATGAAAACTTTCACCCAGCTGTAAGTCCTTGGGGCAGACACTCTGGGGATGTCTACACAGCAGCGTTATTCCGAAATAACACAGGCTACGTCTAGACTGCAGCCACCAAACTATGCCGCGTCTACGGAACGCATCTGCTTTTTCGGAAAAATTTCCAAAAAAGGGGAAGGGTTCTTTTGCCTTCCCTGTCAACCTCATTTCACGCGGAAGAAGGGATGTGCTGAAAGAAGGCTTTTCCAGAATCAGGTGCTGTGTAGACGCACCAAATTTCGGAAAAGCCTCTTTTGAAAGAAAAGCGGAAAAAGAGACGCCAACTGCAGTTTGCAATTGGCATTTCTTTTTCTGACTTTTCTTTGTAGTGTTGACGGAGCCAGAGTGCGTGCCTACACTGCATAAGGGATGTGCTGAAAGAAGGCTTTTCCAGTTTGCAATTGGCATTTCTTTTTCTGACTTTTCTTTGTAGTGTTGACGGAGCCATAGTGCGTGCCTACACTGCATGCCATTATTTCGAAATCATGGTGAGCTGGCAGCCGTCTTATCCTGACTCCTGTGACCCTCATTTCATGAGAGAAGTCAGAGGGAAAGTGCTCTTCCTTCAACTTCCCACTGGGGAGACAGCGCCGAAAGCCGAGTTCGGCTATTTCGACGTCAGCGACACAACTGACGAAGCTGAAGTTGCGTTGCTGAATTCGACTTTGCCCTGCCGTGTAGACGTGCCCTCTGGGTTCGTACAGCACCCAACACAGACTCCTCAAAACCTCTAAGGATGGAGGTTCCGCCTCCTTACACAAGACATCTCAGCAATAAATAAGATCATAAGAACGGCCGTACTGGGTCAGACCAAAGGTCCTTCTAGCCCAGTATCCTGTCTGCCGACAGTGGCCAGCACCAGGTGCCCCAGAGAGGGTGGACCGAAGACAATGATCAAGCGATTTGTCTCCTGCCATCTCTCTCCAGCCTCTGACAAACAGAGGCCAGGGACACCATTTTATCCCCTGGCTAGTAGCCTTTTATGGACCTAACCTCCAGGAAATTATCTAGCTTCTCTTTAAACTCTATTATAGTCCTAGCCTTCACAGCCTCCTCTGGCAAGGAGTTCCACAGGTTGACTACACGCTGTGTGAAGAAGAACTTTCTTTTATTCGTTTTAAACCTGCTCCCCATTCATTTCCTTTGGTGTCCTCTAGTTCTTCTGTTTAGGGAACTAATAAATTACAAACGACAGCTAACGTCCACCGCTGCAGTATGCCAAAGCAAAGCTCCCATAGAACTAACCACGAGCCGCCAGGAGCTCAGTTCGAGATCTGCTCCCAAACCAGGCACAAACTCTCACGCCCAGGAGGCAGGAGGGGACCTGAGAACGGGACCGGGAGGATGCAAGGAAGCCTTCAGCCCGCTTTGAAGCTCATGGGACTGTGGGCCCCGCCAGACCCCTGTGTAAATCGGAGCTGTCTTGAGGCTGCTCTAAGTTATGCTCGGGCGGCTGGAGGAGCAGCTACTCTGAAGGCCGCTGGACGCCACCCTAGGAGGCGGGCTCCGAGCGGGCAGGAATCAGAGACGGAGAGACGAATGGCAAGACACCCTGCGAGGAGCGGCTGCAGACACGCCCAGCCTGTGTGCCGAGGGGCCGGATGCACCGGGGCCGTGGCGCAGCCCAGCTCCCGGAGCCTGCTGGGGGACGTGGCCCTGGCCCGGTGAGCGCGGCGATGGAGCCACTCCCTCCCTGCCCTCCTCTCAGGAGCCCTGACTTTTATTTGTCCTTGGGGGTGTTTCCCCGATGCCCCGCCCCACCACTCCACCACCTCCGGAAGCTCCGCCCTTGCCCCGCCCCACTCTGTTCCGACTCTTCCTGCCCCGCCCTGTCCCTATAGCCCCGCCCAGCCCACTGCTCGCTGCTCTTCATCCACCCCCAGCTGCCCATCCCGGCCCCCGCCCCTACCTCCTTCATCGTCTCAATGGAGGCAAAGTACTTGGACCACCAATCCAGCATGCTCTCGTCGGGCTCGTCCTCCTCTATCTCCTCTCCCCCGCCCTTCTTCTTCTTCTTCTTCTTCTCCTTCTCCTCTTCCGACTGCCCGAGCGGGAGCAGCACCCCACAGGGAGAGAGAGAGGGGGCAGGGCTGAAGGAGTGCCAGCCCCCCCCCGCCCCAGCCTGTGTGCTGTTAGCTCAGGCATGGGGAAACTGAGGCACGGAACCGGACCCTTGGGGACCATAGGGCCAGCCCAGCCTGAGGACATGTTCGCTGCAGCTCTGAGCCCAGCTGTGAAGATGGGAGACCAAAGGTGCAAAGTTCAAACCCGCTGGCAAAGCCCTAGAATCCTAGAACGGGAAGGGCCCTCGAGAGTCCAGTCCCTGCCCTCACGCCAGGACTAAGCTCCGTCTAGACCATCCCTGACAGGTGTCTGTCCAACCTGCTCTGAAATATCTCCAGGGATGGAGATTCCACAACCTCCCTGGGCAATTTATTCCAGTGTTCCACCACCCGGACAGGCAGGAAGTTTTTCCTAAAGTCCAACCTAAACCTCCCTTGCTGCAGTTTAAGCCCATTGCTCCTTGTCCTGTCCTCAGAGGCCAAGATGAACAAGTTTTCTCCCTCCTCCTTGTGACACCCTGTTAGATACTTGAAAAATCACTCTCATGTCCCCTCTCAGTCATCTCCTTTCCAAATTAAACAAGCCCAATTCCTCCAGCCTCCCCTCAGAGCTCATGTTCTCTGGACCTTTCCTCAGTCTCGTTGCTCTTCTCTGGCCCTTCTCTAATTTCTCCCCATCTTTCCTGAAATGTGGGGCCCAGAACTGGACACAACACTCCAACTGAGGCCTAACCAGCGCAGAGCAGAGCGGAAGAACGACTCCTCGTGTCTGGCTCGCCACACGCCTGTTCATGCCTCCTAGAATCAGGTTTGCTTTTTTTGCAACAGTGTCGCACTCTTGACTCATATTTAGCTTGTGGCGCACTCTGACCCCTAGATCCCTTTCTGCAGGGCTCCTCCCTAGACAGTCACTTCCCGTTCTGTGTGTGTGTGACACGGATTGGTCCTTCCTCAGTGGAGCCCTTTGCATTTGTCCTTATTGAACATCATCCCATTGACCTCAGCCCATTTCTCCAGTTTGTCCAGGTCACTTTGATTTTTAACCCTCTCCGAGTCTGAGGAGTTTGGGCTCCTGGCTGCTCCTGCCAGCTCCCCGTTCCCGGGCAGCCGGCCCAGGGCCAAACGCCCACTCCAGGACCAGCCCGGGTCTATCAGGGTCTCTCCTCTGGGATCCACTCAAGGAGTTGCTCTTTGGGAACTAGAGGGCGGGTTTGATGGCTGGACTTGGCTGTGATCACCCCCACAGGGGGCATCCCTCTCGCCAGCCTGTTGGCCCCCCGGTTCCAGCATTCACGGGTGCTGCTCCCCGCTGCTGTGCACGGGAGGTGGGGCGCCCGGGGACTAGACGGGAAGGCCTCCTGGGAATGCAACAGGCCGTGGATCAGGCCCGTGCTGCGTGCGTACCACCTGGCTCAGCTTCCCCCGGTGCCCCACAGCAGCACCCGGCAAAGGGCGCTGCCCAGGGGCAGGCCCACCCACCTGGCACTTACCACGTCAACCTTCACCACTGCGTCCGAGTTCTGCCGCACGGCACGAGATGGCACGGGGGGAACAAAGAGTTAGTGCAACGCCGGGCACGAGGGTCACCTCTCTCCTTTGTGCACTCACGTGCACACGCACACACAGAGCTGCAGGCGCGGACACCTGGAGGGAAACTCCGCAAGCCAGCCTGCAGGGAGATGCCAGCTACGTATCACGGGGCTAGAGAGCCGGGCGCTGGGCCCAGGGAAAGGCAGGGATCCACGGAGCAGGGGCAGGCACCTCGCTCTTCCCGGGCCAGTGTATTATTGCAGGGTTCTCAAACATGCTGGGCAGGGCACCGGGCTTTGTTTCTGTGCTGGATGGTACATGCCGGTTTGTTATTACAGGGACATTAGCATGCTGGGGACGGAACCCTGGACTGGAGATGTGTTGATTTCTGCCAGCTGCTCTGTTATTGTAGGGTTGCTGGTGGGTTCCTGGCCTGTACGTATGCTGTGCTGGGTGAGCTGCTCTGTTATTGTAGGGTTGCTGGTGGGTTCCTGGCCTGTACGTATGCTGTGCTGGGTGAGCTGCTCTGTTATTGTAGGGTTGCTGGTGGGTTCCTGGCCTGTACGTATGCTGTGCTGGGTGAGCTGCTCTGTTATTGTAGGGTTGCTGGTGGGTTCCTGGCCTGTACGTATGCTGTGCTGGGTGAGCTGCTCTGTTATTGTAGGGTTGCTGGTGGGTTCCTGGCCTGTACGTATGCTGTGCTGGGTGAGCTGCTCTGTTATTGTAGGGTTGCTGGTGGGTTCCTGGCCTGTACGTATGCTGTGCTGGGTGAGCTGCTCTGTTATTGTAGGGTTGCTGGTGGGTTCCTGGCCTGTACGTATGCTGTGCTGGGTGAGCTGCTCTGTTATTGTAGGGTTGCTGGTGGGTTCCTGGCCTGTACGTATGCTGTGCTGGGTGAGCTGCTCTGTTATTGTAGGGTTGCTGGTGGGTTCCTGGCCTGTACGTATGCTGTGCTGGGTGAGCTGCTCTGTTATTGTAGGGTTGCTGGTGGGTTCCTGGCCTGTACGTATGCTGTGCTGGGTGAGCTGCTCTGTTATTGTAGGGTTGCTGGTGGGTTCCTGGCCTGTACGTATGCTGCGCTGGGTGAGCTGCTCTGTTATTGTAGGGTTGCTGGTGGGTTCCTGGCCTGTACGTATGCTGCGCTGGGTGAGCTGCTCTGTTATTGTAGGGTTGCTGGTGGGTTCCTGGCCTGTACGTATGCTGCGCTGGGTGAGCTGCTCTGTTATTGTAGGGTTGCTGGTGGGTTCCTGGCCTGTACGTATGCTGCGCTGGGTGAGCTGCTCTGTTATTGTAGGGTTGCTGGTGGGTTCCTGGCCTGTACGTATGCTGCGCTGGGTGAGCTGCTCTGTTATTGTAGGGTTGCTGGTGGGTTCCTGGCCTGTACGTATGCTGCGCTGGGTGAGCTGCTCTGTTATTGTAGGGTTGCTGGTGGGTTCCTGGCCTGTACGTATGCTGCGCTGGGTGAGCTGCTCTGTTATTGTAGGGTTGCTGGTGGGTTCCTGGCCTGTACGTATGCTGCGCTGGGTGAGCTGCTCTGTTATTGTAGGGTTGCTGGTGGGTTCCTGGCCTGTACGTATGCTGCGCTGGGTGAGCTGCTCTGTTATTGTAGGGTTGCTGGTGGGTTCCTGGCCTGTACGTATGCTGCGCTGGGTGAGCTGCTCTGTTATTGTAGGGTTGCTGGTGGGTTCCTGGCCTGTACGTATGCTGCGCTGGGTGAGCTGCTCTGTTATTGTAGGGTTGCTGGTGGGTTCCTGGCCTGTACGTATGCTGCGCTGGGTGAGCTGCTCTGTTATTGTAGGGTTGCTGGTGGGTTCCTGGCCTGTACGTATGCTGCGCTGGGTGAGCTGCTCTGTTATTGTAGGGTTGCTGGTGGGTTCCTGGCCTGTACGTATGCTGCGCTGGGTGAGCTGCTCTGTTATTGTAGGGTTGCTGGTGGGTTCCTGGCCTGTACGTATGCTGCGCTGGGTGAGCTGCTCTGTTATTGTAGGGTTGCTGGTGGGTTCCTGGCCTGTACGTATGCTGCGCTGGGTGAGCTGCTCTGTTATTGTAGGGTTGCTGGTGGGTTCCTGGCCTGTACGTATGCTGCGCTGGGTGAGCTGCTCTGTTATTGTAGGGTTGCTGGTGGGTTCCTGGCCTGTACGTATGCTGCGCTGGGTGAGCTGCTCTGTTATTGTAGGGTTGCTGGTGGGTTCCTGGCCTGTACGTATGCTGCGCTGGGTGAGCTGCTCTGTTATTGTAGGGTTGCTGGTGGGTTCCTGGCCTGTACGTATGCTGCGCTGGGTGAGCTGCTCTGTTATTGTAGGGTTGCTGGTGGGTTCCTGGCCTGTACGTATGCTGCGCTGGGTGAGCTGCTCTGTTATTGTAGGGTTGCTGGTGGGTTCCTGGCCTGTACGTATGCTGCGCTGGGTGAGCTGCTCTGTTATTGTAGGGTTGCTGGTGGGTTCCTGGCCTGTACGTATGCTGCGCTGGGTGAGCTGCTCTGTTATTGTAGGGTTGCTGGTGGGTTCCTGGCCTGTACGTATGCTGCGCTGGGTGAGCTGCTCTGTTATTGTAGGGTTGCTGGTGGGTTCCTGGCCTGTACGTATGCTGCGCTGGGTGAGCTGCTCTGTTATTGTAGGGTTGCTGGTGGGTTCCTGGCCTGTACGTATGCTGCGCTGGGTGAGCTGCTCTGTTATTGTAGGGTTGCTGGTGGGTTCCTGGCCTGTACGTATGCTGCGCTGGGTGAGCTGCTCTGTTATTGTAGGGTTGCTGGTGGGTTCCTGGCCTGTACGTATGCTGCGCTGGGTGAGCTGCTCTGTTATTGTAGGGTTGCTGGTGGGTTCCTGGCCTGTACGTATGCTGCGCTGGGTGAGCTGCTCTGTTATTGTAGGGTTGCTGGTGGGTTCCTGGCCTGTACGTATGCTGCGCTGGGTGAGCTGCTCTGTTATTGTAGGGTTGCTGGTGGGTTCCTGGCCTGTACGTATGCTGCGCTGGGTGAGCTGCTCTGTTATTGTAGGGTTGCTGGTGGGTTCCTGGCCTGTACGTATGCTGCGCTGGGTGAGCTGCTCTGTTATTGTAGGGTTGCTGGTGGGTTCCTGGCCTGTACGTATGCTGCGCTGGGTGAGCTGCTCTGTTATTGTAGGGTTGCTGGTGGGTTCCTGGCCTCCCCCTCAATGCGCCCACATCCTGTGTGTAGTGGGGGGCCCAGAACTGGACACAACACTCCAGACGTGGCCCCCCAGAGCCAAATAACGGGGGATAATCCCGTCCCGAGATCTGCTGGCCATGCTCCTCCGAATGCTGCCCAACGTGCCGTTCGCCTACGTGGCTACGAGGATGCAGTTGGCTCCTACCCAGCTTCTCGCTTGACGTTTGCTGCAGACTCCCCGCACAAGCCCATGAACCACCCACCTAGCCAATCCCCACTCCCTCGCTCTGACCACTAGCCCACGCTCCCTCCCCCCCCACCCGGATGTTCAGGGGCGGATGGAGCAGCTCGTTCTCCGGCAGGTCCTGGAGGGGACGGGTTTTAGTGTGGGGGCTCCCTGTTGCCTTTCCCAGCCTACAGGATTCTCTAGCCCTTGGGGGAAGAGCAGCCTGCAAGAGGCCCCTTCCTGGGGGCCCCTCTCTCGGCAGGAGGAAGGGGGTTGCTTTCCGGGCGGGGGGGCACAACTCCTGCAGGTGGGGGCTGGGGCCCCACTAACCAGCTGATTTCAACAGCCTTCGTGACAGGGCACTGCACCCCCTGTTGCCTTTCCCAGCCTACAGGATTCTCTAGCCCTTGGGGGAAGAGCAGCCTGCAAGAGGCCCCTTCCTGGGGGCCCCTCTCTCGGCAGGAGGAAGGGGGTTGCTTTCCGGGCGGGGGGGCACAACTCCTGCAGGTGGGGGCTGGGGCCCCACTAACCAGCTGATTTCAACAGCCTTCGTGACAGGGCACTGCACCCACACGGCCCGTGGGGAAACTGAGGCAGAGCGGGTCCGTGAGTGTTGCCCGAGTCAGGAGACAAACTCGTGAGGGCTGGGTCTCAGGCCACTGCTCCTCCCCTCCCAGACCAGCTGCTCCTGCTCCCTCCCCCACACTTTTGGGCTCCCCCCACTGGCCCTGCCCAAGGGAAGAAAGGCTTCTCCCGGCCAGCCAGGACTGCAGGCCCCCTTCCGCCCGGGCCACTCACCACTTCAAACCACTTGACCAGGGTGCTGCTGTTGGTCTCCCGGCCAGCCAGGACTGCAGGCCCCCTTCCGCCCGGGCCACTCACCACTTCAAACCACTTGACCAGGGTGCTGAAGTTGGGGTTCTTCTTGTAGTTCTGGATCAGGGCGGACTGGACGCCCCTGCCGGCGCACTCGATGTCCACCCGGGGCCGGGCCCCCTG